ATCCACAGGCCCAGCATCTTCCATACAATTATTCTGATACAGCCAATTTCCCATTTCTTGAACTCCAAACCTGACCTAACTACCGTCCCACGGGCACACTTAACATTCAAAACATACTGTACAATCCAAACGCTCTCACACAAACTTATCCCTATTTAGAACATTACTGGATCAAGACTATGCAGACAACCCCCCTCCATATAGCCAAGCCTGGACCAAAGACCTAAACATTATAATGACTCAAAAGGAATGGTACCAATATACAAGAGGGCAATTACAAACTAATAGCAAGATGGCACTACTCCCCCACACACGTCCACAGATTCTTCCCAACTTCTCCAGACAGCTGCTGAAGATGTCAGCAGCTCCGAGGCACATTAGCACACATATGGTGGATGTGCCCTACTATTCAACTATTCTGGGATAAAATCACAAGTGCACTGTTTGTATTCATTGCGTTAATTTATCTGTGAGCCATTATCATCGCACTTATGAAAAATCACGGCTTGAACTATCTTGCTTTGCATGTAATGCGTCTATCTCATATATTAGTTTCCCCTTTTACGTTGCATCACTGAAATAAATTAACTTTTGCGCGATATTCACATTTTTCGAGTATCACCTGTACAACTCACATAGAATCCTTGGGAAATTCTACCAATAGTGACATCATAGGCTGATGCTGCAACCTATTTCTGTGGGACAGATAAGTTCTATGTTCTGCATGGCATGCAGCAGAGGTAAGAAGAATATTGCCAGACAATGAATAAGCTTATCTGTTTGTGAAAGTGGCACATGTCTCCTTGATGGAGCATGTTTTGGTATATATCATCACCTGAAATGCCAATGACTGGCTAATTGCATCTATAAAGGTACTGAGCTGTTACTGATTAGATTTATCTTGAGCTGTAACCTTATTTTCATTACTAGATACATGCAATTTTCCTTAAAGGCATCATAGTTCTAGGAGGACTTTTATAAACTCAAGCAATGTAGGTTAAATGAGCACTCTAAGTACAATAAGTAATGTTGCTGAATTGTTGTGGCTGTGACTATTACTGACTGTGTGCAATTTTATCTATTATGTTTTGCCTGTGATGTAGTAAGTTATTAATAACTCATTTTTTTTTTTCTTTCGTTGGCTAGAATGTTTACTGCAACACTCAAAAATCTTTATGATATACTCATATTGATAAAGTTGGAATTTCACTGAACTCACCTTTGCCTACTCTCAGGGTCTTTGTAAATTGTGCAAAGGCAACAGACAGCAACAATGCCACTTTAAGTAGCCATGAAAAAACAGGAGAATTCCAAAGTTATGCAATTCAGGGTGAAGAGTGCACAAATAACTTACTCCCAAAGTGAGTTAGGAAAAACAACAGAAAGATTTGGGAATTGTTGTAGACACATATATAAACAAACTAAGCAAAATGTCCAGTTCTTAAGGGTGGTAAGGTAATGTCATGTTTTAAAAGGGGCATTAATCAATAGTGGGATTGGTTTTAGTATATAATATTTTAGAAACCAGTTCCAACTTTTCATATGTTTCCAACTCCACAGAGTCGGCCCAAGACATTGTGCTGCCTGTGACCAAGACTCCATTTTAATAAACATACACATGCACATGCACGCACACATGCGCATGCATGTGCACGCACACACACATACACGCACACGGTATATAATGCCAATGAGCAGTGGTAGTGACTAGGTAAGGTGACAGTGGGGGGTGGTAGTGTGTGGGTAAGGTGACAGTGGGGGGTGCAGCGTTTGGGTTAGGTGACAATGGGGGGGGTGGTAGTGTGTGGGGGTAAGGTGACAGAAGGGGGTGCAAGTGTGTGGGTAAGGTGAGAGTGAGGGATGGTAGTGTGCATGGAGGCTGTTTATTCTGTTTAGTTACCAGCCTACTGATACCTTTTTTTTTGTGTAATTCATTCTCTGGTGGTCCAGTGGCCTCCTCCTCGCATGGGGTGCAAATATAAGAATAAAATAAACGACAAACCACTAGTTGACTGAATAATGCTTTTGGGAAATTGTTTTATGGAATAAAAAGCAGCAGAGGGAGCTGGAGAGAGATGTAGTGGTGGCTGAAGTGAGCCTACAGATATCACATTAATATCCGAGGTATTGAACAGGGTAGCGACTGGAACACAGAGGGAGCTGTATAGGAAACTGAGGAATCAAGTCGTGGTTTTGAGAATCAAAGAAGGAAGAGGGAGAGGGTAGTAGGAGTTAAACATGGCTGAAATAGGTACAGACAGGGGTCTGAAAGAGACACAGTGTGGGAAGTGGTGGGCCTGGGAATGTTGACAGAATGGCTGCTGGAGCTGTTGAAATGGCAACAGAAGAAGCTTGATATCACTTCAACTGGTACCAGAGCAGCTGTAGGGGCATACCTGAAGCTTGGATTAGATGGAAAGGGTGCAGAGAGGGCTAGCGAGCAGAACTGAGTAAATAAAATGCTTGGATTGGCCACAGACGAGTCTTTAATGGAGGGAACTGGGGGATGCAGAATAAGCTGCAGGTTTGGATGTGAGATGAAAGGGCACAAATGGAGCTGAAGGAACTTGCTACATATACAAAGTGGGTCAAATAGGCATCAAGGGTGGAAACTGACATGGAGTGTGGCTAAAATAGATTTATTATACCAGAGAAAGATAAAGACAGTCAGAAGGAATAGGAGTAAAAAAATCCCACCCTGGTTTTATAAGAATGTTATCACTGAATTATAGATATTACAGAATGCAGATAAAGCGTGGATCATACTGGTAATGGTAAATATTACTGAGCTCATATAAATCAGTTTAGGTTTCACGGCATGTTAAACTTGTAGAAACAAGAGGTCAACCTGACAAGCTGGCCTCGGTCCCAGGACATTTGCTTTATTGCTACATGAAAACAAATAGAAGTTGGCGTGAGTTTTCTACCAACTGCTGGCGGTTTCTGGAGCCTGTCTATCCTGACTGTTAGCAGCTCTGTTCTCTGATCAGATGGATAGTTTGCAATGACAATCAGAGTATAACAATAGGCTGTTTTTACGGCTTATGGAATCATTATGACAGTTCTTCAAACTCAAGGTGCTTGGACCTGAGGTGGGCAAAGCTTTTTTCCAATAGTAGAAAGGACAGAATGGTCCAGACACACAAGGTTGTACATCAAACAGATTTCTATCAGTATCTGTGTTTCTCCAATAAATCTGCTTCCTTGAGTGCCCAAACCATCATGTTCTTTCACTGCATGTTAAAGTCTGAAGGCCTATTACATCTACTGTAAGCTGTAAAGATATCCTAATGTTATTCTCTGATTCTCTTATAAAATAGCACATTGCAAATTATCCATCTGATCAGAGAACAGAGCTGCTAACATTCAGGATAGACAGGCTCTGAAGACCACGAGCAGTTGGTAGAAAACTCACATCAACTTCAACTTGTTTTCATGTAGCAATAAAGCAGATGCCCTGGGACCGGGGCCAGCTTTTCAGACTCTGGCTGGATATTGCTCCACTTGGACTTGTGCTGTGTAATAACATTTTAATTGGTTCATAAAGGTCCTGGCTTCAGTGCATTGTATTCTCCCCTGCCAGATTTTAAGATGTATTTATTGTCTGCAAATACATAGAGGTCACTGCAATCATGTCTGCTTATTAATGAGCTGACAGTAAAACTGGAAATCCGCTGGGATGAGACATTGCCACAACCTGTACCACACCAGTATAGTCACGTTAATTCAAGTATTTAAGAGTATCTAAGCAAGGCTAACCAGTGTGCAATGGTACCCACAGAATATTCTCCAAGGAGGGGGCAGATTCATGCTCTGTATAGTCACAGTCACTCAAAATGACCATACAAATCAAAGGACGGGGAATTTCTGGGGGAAGGGGACACTTGCCCCTTTGTTCTGTTCTTCAAATGCCCATGTCAGCTGGCAGCTTTTCAATTATTATTGAACTGACACTTAAAGGGACACTATAATCACCAAAACAACTTTAGCTTAAAGGGACTCTATAGTCACCTTTAGTTTAATGAAGCGGTTAAGGTGCATAGATTATGCCTCTACAGTCTCACTGGTCAATTCTCTGCCTTATAGGTGTTAAGTCACTTTTGTTTCTGTTTATGCAGCCCTAGCCACATCTCTCCTGCCTGTGACTCACACAGCCTGCATGAAAAAAGTTTTAATTTTCAATCAGATGTTAATTTACTTTAGACGTTTTCATCTCCTGCTCTGTAAATTAAACTTTAATCACAAAATTTAGTCTCCTGCAATGTCTAGAAGGATATTGGCATGGCAAAAATAATAAAATTAAAATTCTAAATTAAACAGAATTTTCTATAAAGGAAGTGTAAACTTTAGATGACTCTTTACAAATTGTGTTTAGGAGGGCTGTGCACTTACATGCAGGGAGGTGTGACTAGGGCTATATGAACAAATAGTTTTAACTCCTAAATGGCAGATAATGGAGCAGTGAGTCTGTAGAGACATGATATATACACCAAAACAGCTTCACTTAACTAAAGTTGTTTTGGTGACTATAGTGTCTATTTAATATTGTTCTTCCTAATAGTTTACACAAATCATTTCTTTATATGACTTTAGATGTATCACAAGTCTTCTTCTGTGCACTTTTGGCCTGGTCCTTCTCTCAGTGCATTGCTTATGTAGAAGTTATACTCATACAGTCAGCCAGCAAATGCTGTCCAAATTTGGACAAATAGTGATATCGCTAATACAGAAGTTTAACTTCCTCAATAGCAAAATCGTAAATGATCGGCTGGAACACCAATGCCCGGGGTACCTCATTTTGTGTCAAGCCCCTCTAAAGTGGTTTGACCCAGATCCTGTGGATGGCACCGGTAGGCTGTAGTGATTAAGGTACTTAAAGTGCTCTTTAAAGGCATTTAATCCTAAATAAAGTCAATTGATAAATAAAATATTTTGTTTTGTTTTTTTTAGCACTTCTATATGCAACCATTTTCGGTAACGTGACAACCATCTTCCAGCAAATGTACGCCAACACGAACCGATATCATGAAATGTTAAACAGCGTCCGAGACTTTCTTAAGCTCTACCAAGTCCCCAAAGGGCTGAGTGAACGGGTCATGGATTATATTGTATCAACATGGTCAATGTCTAGAGGAATAGATACAGAAAAAGTAAGTAGGAACATATTTATGTACTTCTTAGCTTAGCGCAGTAAAGGCAATGGCTATTCCATAAAACGCGCACTCAATTACACTGAATCGAAGATTTCCTCCCAGCATTGGATGTGTATGAAAATCATACATGCTTCATTAGAACCACTCCATACAGCAAGCTGTGTCTCTATGTTTTTTAGAACGCTTACAATAAATGACAAATATATACTTGAGGCTGTTATAGTCATGTTTTGATTAATGCGTCTGTTTTGGTTAATTGGTTACTAAACGATAGGCACACTAAATGCATTGCTGAATACATTTGTAATCTTTGATAAAGGGTATTGCCTTTTCATGTATACTAGTACTTTTATTTAAATTAGCCCAGCTTTCCTGGAAGCTAATGTTTGATTCTGAGAAGGGGAATCTACTTTAGTGTCAATAGAAGACACTCCCCGGAGACAGTAGTATATTGATTTATTCTTTGATGACTACATTAAATGCAGCGTGTGGGATGAATCTATTTCTAAAAAGTGACTTTGGGAATGTTCCATGCTGTCCGTGACTCATAATAGGTAAATAATTTATCCTGTTTATTGCTTCATCTGGAATTTGATTTAAAGATCTGTATTTATTCACCATAATTTTACTAAAAAACCTACAGGCACATAGATGTCATTATTAAAATACATACTCATTTTAATTTTCTGCAATGTTAAGAGAAAAATCGCTATTTCACTGTATAAAAAGAATTGCACTGTCTGAAAGTGTTAGAACTTTGAAATGTTACTGGTTTTACCACTAGACTTTTAATTGATGCTTTATACCAAGTAAATTGTACTTTCTGCCAAATTGTATAACATAGTGACCTATTCACGAAATGGTAAATTGATAACTGATTTAAATCCCTTAAACCTGAATTGCCAGATTAAAAAGCTGTCACTATCATTAGAGTGTTTGCTTGATTATTGTACAAAACATTTGTAGCTCACTTGTGAAATCACAAATTTTGTAAACATTTAAGTGCGTGAATGTAAAATCTTAAATCTTCATGTTTTCTTATGATCTAATTCATGTTTCGAATATATTTACGTAATTCATAGAAACTTCAGTCTAATCTAGCTCAAGTCTCAAATATATTTACATAATTCATAGAAACCTCAGCATCCTCTTGAGATTTTCATTTTATTAAATTATTTTTATTTAAAGAATTATAGTTGGAATGGTTTAAGCACGTTGTAGCCCACTGATGTCTAGATTTGATTACTCCTAATCTAGATGTAAAAATCATTTGATACAATCATTTTTTACATCTCACACAATTGCAGTATTGAACAAATTTGTTTAAAAAAAGTATTTCAATTATCTTCAGGTTTCTCCATAGATTAATAATATCACTAGTCAGGGCCAGTGCAAGGGTTTTTGGCTATAAAGGCGAAGATGCATTCTGCCGCCCCCAACCCCCCCCAAAAAAATTTATCTTCACTTCTGTGTCTTGTAGCCCTATTTTTTGAATTTCTTACCCGCTTTAGTGTTTCATATCCCCTCTCTTGAATATCTTACCCCTTTTTCCCCTTTGTATCTTACACCCCCCTTAGTGTGTCTCTTACACTAAAGTGTATTTGTTACTTCTTATGTGTCTTCTTATTTGTTGCCCCCTTATGTGTCCCATTCTTCCCATTGGCCTCTTTCGGTCTCTTTCTCCGCCCCCCGGCCCCTTTTTGTGTCTTTTTCTCCCTTATACATAGATAGATACACAGGAAAAAAATATATATATATATGCACAAATGCACAACCATACAGGCACACAGACCTTGTTATTCAGGCACACAGTCACAACGATATACAGACACACAGTCATAAAAGGCACACAATCAAACCAACTCGGTCATGCAGGCACAGACATACATGCGCAGACAGTCATACAGAGACATAAAGACACAGGGAGTCATATATGCAGTCACATGTACATATTTACATCTGAGGCCTGAGCAATTAGGTACCTGGGAAGCATTATGTCTGGCTCTGATCTGTGGATCCAATTTAGCAGCTCAGTTCCATCACTGGACACCAGTGATGGAACTATTGTAGAGAGGGCTCTGGTGCAAGAATCTTTTTGCCCCCAATTTCAAAGGGTGGCTAAAAGGTAGATCCCCACCTGTTGTGCAACTCCAACAATGCCTTGATTTCTAATACTTGCAGGGTTGTATTTAGCACTGAGCAGTGTTTGCAAGTTTTGTATGGAGTATGTTTGTGTGAATGTAGGCGTGTGTTTGTATGTAGTGCATTTGAATGCAAGCATGCATTTATGTGTAGTGTTGGTCTTAAATGCAGTGATGTGTTTATATATATTTTGTTGTGTTTAATACAGAGATATGTTTGTATGTAGTGTTGACATTTGAATGCAGGGGTGAATGTATGTAGTGTTAACATTTGAATGCTGAGATGCATGCACATATACACATACACTGCCACACACGCACACACACACTGTGATACACATACACACAGATACACACTGACACACATGAAGATATATAGACACATATATATACAAACTGATACACATTCAGATGCACACACACACACACACACACTGATATATAGACAAACAAATACACACAGAGACACACTGGCAAACACACAGACACACACACATACCGACTGACATCAAGACACACACACAGGCACCGATAGACACACAGACATACAGATACAAACACAGACACACTGACAGGCATACAGATACACAGAATGACAGACATACAGATACACACACAGACACACTGACAGACATACAGATACACACACATGCTGGTGAAAACATACTTTTATAGCCACCCTCTTTTTTCTACCTTTTGGGTGCTTCCCTGGGGTCCATTGTGCTGACTGAGGTAGATGGGAGTTAAGGGCTGGCTCTCCTGGACCAGCCCCCTCCTCTCTGCCTTCTTCTGCTCTCTGGCATGGCTCCAGGGAGAAAAAAGAAGGCCGGAGGCAGTTCCTCCACTGCTGGGCGCCAGATGCACTGCATGCTGCATAAGAAGCAGGGATATGACGTGTTCATATCCCCACCCCCTCCACACAGTCCAGGCATGCGGAGAGTGGCTGTGGAAGGCTGGGCCGCACAAAGTTGCTAGTGCTCGCAATGCTACAAGAAGTGACTGACAGGAGAGGAGCACTGTACGCCCTGTCAATGGTTAAATTCTTAGATTTAATCTTTTAATTGCTGCTAAAAATTATTTTAAAAATTATGCTTGCATCTAACCATGCCACCATACTTTAAAAATGGCAATATTTTTTAGACCACATACTACCCCTTATGGAAAATGTGTCCCTCTATGAACAGTATGCAATATTTATGCACCAAGGATTTGAGTAAACATGAAGAAGACATCACATATGTCTACACATTTTCAACATATTTTTAAGAGTTATTTTTTTTTTTGTAATTAAGACTTTTATTGAAATTTTTGCTGAGCAAGACAAAATCATAATCAAGTCTCCTACCGGAGAATAACGCTAATAGATCACTCTAGAATAGGGCAGGTCCCTCCAGATGTGGGTTCCTGTAACTACAGTATCATGTTGGTCCCAATGCAGTATAAAAAGAAACCTATGAAAAAAAGGAGTATATATTTTGGCTTTCCCATGTTAAAAGTCAAGATAGATCATTTACTCATCATCATTTCATGAGTTAAAGTTTCTCTTTGGTTTGCCTTGTTAGAAACTCGTAAATCGCTAGCATCCTGCTATGATCTAACATTGTCTTGCTTTGAAGCTATTTCTGATATGGTCGGTAACAATGATCCTTGACATTACATTTCTGTTGATGTAGCAGTAGCACTGGTGATTTGACCCTCAGTCCCTGCCTTACACAAGCATGTCATTTTAATCAGTGATACATGATTTCTCAAAGACACTTTTATCTTTTTTTTTCTGAATTAAAGATGTTAGAATGTTATCATTATGGTATTAGCATAGGACACACAGTAACGGTTTGTGTTAATTTAGGTTTTACAGATTTGCCCTAAAGACATGCGAGCAGACATCTGTGTACACCTAAACCGCAAAGTTTTCAAAGAGCATCCTGCATTTCGATTGGCTAGTGATGGATGCCTACGAGCCCTGGCCATGGAGTTTCAGACCGTTCACTGTGCTCCTGGGGATTTAATTTATCATGCGGGAGAAAGCATAGACACACTCTGCTTTGTGGTTTCTGGCTCTTTGGAAGTTATCCAGGATGACGAAGTTGTTGCTATATTGGGTAAGTCTAAGTTTTATCTATTTAATCCGCTCCTGTTATTAGATGTCTCTGAATACAAATTTAGACAGGAGTTAGCAACGAAAAATAAATCCTGAGGGGGAATGTGCATAGACACTGTCCTTAATAGAATCATTTAAATCAAAGGAAGAATAGTTTCCTAGAGGCGGCCCTTGCCTCCTCTTGTCGTGGACACAAATGGGATCTGACACTATAAGGAGTTTTCACTAAAGTGAGAATTCAAAGTGACTCTTTGTGCAATTAATTTTGGCCCAAATTTAAATTCGGTCACATTTGGACTAATTCTGCTATTTTGCTCAAAAACTATTTAGCAATAGAAAAAACACAAATAAATCAAAAGTACCTAATCCAAAATGACCAAATTTGGAAGTTATACTAAACAACTGAAAGATCAATATTAAGAAAAGGAATCTTTATTTTGATATTTCAACTGTTTAGTAGATGGCTCCCTAATTTAGTATCCTTAAATATCCCATGTAATCTCACACAAGGATACCAAATTAGGGAGTTATGTACAAAAGAGCTGAACGATTAAAATTAGGGAAAGGGTTTTTCTTAATTTTGCTGCATGGATATAGAATATTTGTAGTGCATGTATATAGAATGTATGTGCTGCATGTATACATAATGCATATACTTCATGTTCATAGAATGTATGTGCTTCAAGTTTATATAATGTGCTGCATGTACAATTTATATAGTTTCTATGTGCTGCATGTTTATAGAATGTATGTCATATATACAGTATGTATATAGAATGTATATGATATACACAGGATAGTAAATTAGGGAGCTATCTTTTAAACAGCTGAAAGATCAAAATTAAGAAAAGCCCTTTTCTTTATTTTGATCATTTAGCTGTTTAATAGATAGCTCCCTAATTTGGTACCCTTATGATGTGAGATTGCCATATTTATAGGATACCTTATTAAAGCACAGATATCTCCCTTACTTGGTGACCTTAAATATGGCAATCCCAGGCAAGGATATAAAATTAGGGAGTTATCTTTTAAACAGCTGAAAGATTCAAATTAAGAAAATCCCTTTTCCTAAAGAAACACTGTAGGGTCAGAAATACAAACTTATGTGAGAATACAAACATATCTTCCTGACTCTATAGTGTTAAAAACACTATCTAGGTAGCAGACCCAGCCTTACCCCCAATAAGTAGGGTACAAATGTACCATTATTCCAGCGTCCGTGGTTCTGCAAATGCTGATCCCGTCCCCACTCTGCCCACTTGGCTGAGATAATCAGAACTGACAATCTCAGCCAATCCAATGCTGTTCCATAGGAAAACATTGGGAGGCTAATGCGCATGTGCGGCAAAACACTGTGCTGTGCCATTCAGCATCTCTTAAATGTATCTGTATTTAAATGAAAATGACTGCGGGAACAGACTATAGACACCTGAACAACCACATTAAGCTGTAGTTGTGCTGATGACTATAGTGTGCCTTTAATTTGGCTCTTTCAACAGTTTGGCAGATAACAGAAAATTAACAAAATTTCAAACTGAAATTTTAACCGAAAATTAAAAAATAGTGCAGATTGTATGCTTGTTCTTAAAAATACAAATAAACCAGCAATGGAATATCATTCTTAAGATCAGAGTGGTTACCATTCAGTACTATCATGCCCAGACAGGATCAGCCCCTTGTGTGCAATGAATCACCAGAGAAACAGCACTATTGTTCGAAGGACGCACCATAAACAGAGTGGACATTATGTTCTTGTTAGCGCAGTATTAAGGATTGTAGCCGGTACTCCCAGAGGCTAAAAGTCCAACCAAATAAACTTCAGAAGTCATTTTAGTGCTTCACATATATATAGCAGCAATCCCATCACTGTGCAGAATATTAACCCCTTAAGGACACAACTTCTGGAATAAAAGGGAATCATGATGGAATATTTCCGTCATGTGTCCTTAAGTGGTTAAAAACATAACCAATTATTGCTTGTTTTGTTGTTGTTATTGTTTTTTTTTCACACACAATTTAGTGAATAAATCCCATATTTAATGCCTTTCTCTCATGTGAATGGTATATGAAAACTTTAAAAACTGTGGAACTCTTGGTTCTGCAGTAATGGAACCTCACACCTGTGGGAACCTGCCCTGTTCTTAAATATTTTGTTACTGTAGAGCTCCACTAGGAGGTATGGTAATGGTGTGTCTTCATTGTATTACTATTATAAAATTTAATACAAATCTTAATTGTAAGAAACAAAAATAAATTGGAACATTTTGTTTCTTTCCTATCCTGAAGAAGCATCAGAGTACACATGCATGCAAACACACACATATGCACACATTTAAAATGTGGGAATGTAGTCAACTCAGCACAAAACCCAACAGCCTAGCAAGGTTGAAAATATGCACAGTGAATGGAGTTTGCACTTTTTTTAGGAAATACCTCTGGTTTCTTAAAAAGTTAAAAAGACAACACAAATCCATCTACGTTGCAAATCATGACTGTACCACTTGATCCGGGCCTGTGGGGAGGTAAGTAAGAGCTACATCATCATCAATATTACAAAACTGGTGGATGGAAGCAGATATCCCTTTATAGCTTTCTGACAAATCTTTCAGGAATATTCCTTTTTTCCCCCAGGCCAGTATTCACCATTAAGGATTCAGGAGGACTGAATATCCTTGCCTTATGTCTGCAAACCCAGGCTTACATTTGCATGCACATAGACACTTTGGGATGGAGACATATGCTCAGCCAAATAATAAGTAGGATGAATAAATTGCTTCTTTACTTAGGGTGGCTTTTAAAATATACTTACTATACGACTAGAGTACATAAAATAAAGACAATCAGCTGGCTTCCTTAAGTATATCATGCACTTTTAATGAAGAATGCCTTTTAGCTTCCCTGGGTAAATAGACATCATAACTGCCCTAGATTGGACACAGATAATATCCTTTTTATATGGTAAGTGCTTTCAGCACTAACACGGACATGCACTTTCCTAACTGTAATACAGAAATGTGTTTTGTTTTTTTCTCTTAATGCATTCTTTTTAGTACACTGTCTAGAACTGTTTTCAAATATTTTAACATACACTGCAGTGCCCCTTTTATAAGTTGGATAATGATTGGATAACGTGGTACATCCCAGTAAAATACAGAGTGAGCTGTGATAATAAAGAGTTATACAGTGATCGGCCACAACATTGAAACCACATGCATAATATCATGTAGGTCCCTTTGTGCTGCTAAAACAGCTCTGATGCATTAAGACATGGATGCCACAAAACCTCTGAACATGTCCTGTGGTATCTGGCACCAAAGCATTAGCAGCAGATCCTTCTAAGGACTGCAAGTTGTGAGGTGAGGACTTCATGGATGGGATTTGTTGTTCAAGCACATTCCACAGATGCTCAATCAGATTTAGATCTGGGGTATTTGGAGGCCAAGGCAACACCTTGAATACTTTGTCATGTTCCTCAAATCATTCCTGAACATTTTTTGCAGTTAGGCAGGGTGCATTATCCTGCTGAAAGAGGCCACTGCCATCTTGGGATACCATTGCCATGAAGGGGTGTACGTTATCTACAACAATTTCTTGGTAGGTGGTAGGTGTTACAGTCACATCCACATGAATGCCATGACCCAAGGTTTCTCAGGAGAACCTTTGCTCAGAGCATAACACTGTCTCCGCAGGCCTTCCTTCTTCCCATAGTGTATCCTGTTGCAATCTCTTCCAAGGTACGAAACACACATGCACCTAGCCATCCACCTGATCTAAAAGAAAGGGTGATTCATCAGACCAGGCAAGCATCTTCCATTGCGCCATGGTCCAGTTCTGATGCTCATGTTCCCATTAAAAGCACTTTTGGTAGTGGATAGGTGTCATTGTGGGCACTGTGACTGCTCTGCAACTATGCAGCCCCATACTCTGCAAACTGTGATGTACTGTGTGTTCTGACACCTTTCTATCATGGCCAGCATTATGCTTTTCAGCAATTTTCAGCAACAGTAGCTCTTCTGTGTGATCGGACCAGACAGGCTAGTCTTTGCTCTCCATGGGCATCAATAATTCTTGGTTCCTCCATGACCCAGACACCAGTTCACAGGTTGCCCTTCCTTGCACCATTTTTGGTAGATACTAACCACTGCATACCGGGAACACCCCACAAGACTTGTCGTTTTGGAGATTCTCTGACCCAGTCGTCTAGACATCACTATTTGGCCCTTTCCAAAGTCACTCAGATCTTTTCAGATCTTGCCCATTTCTCCTGCTTCCAACACATGAAATTCTAGAACTGACTATACATTTGCTGCTTGATATATTTTCCACCCCTTAACAGATGCCATTTAATGATATAATCAATGTTATTCACTTCCCCTGTCAGTGGTTTTAATGTTGTGGATGATCAATGTATTGTCATGTAGGAATTGCAAAGTGGCCACTTATATAAGTAGTGGCAGAATTATATCACAACAAACGCATGTACAACTTGTTGAAAAATACTTTATGGGTGAAGTCACTGATTTAAAAAAAAGTAATAATACATCTTTTTAGTTTGCTTGTTTGTTTCGTTCTCTACTCCCTCGTATGCTTTAACTCTAAAATGGGAATGAAGAATGGGTAGCTAGGAGGGATCCGACTGAAATAAAGCTTTTGTGGACTTAAAATAATTAACTTAAGTCTTGTGCTTCTGTCTTTCTTGCGACATACTCTTGCCATTATGTGGGAGTGTGGACTGTCCCCCTTTCTGCTACACTCTCCACATCCACCTCTTTCTCTGTCCCAGGCTGCATACCATGAGCATGTTTCTTCCTGCTAGTAAGGAGGGAAGGAGAGGTGTGGACAAGAGAGTCCTAAGGACAGATTAGTGAGAGAGAGGAGATAACAGCTGTGGGGCTTGTAAGGAGGCAGATAGACTTGGATGAAAGATGGAAGAGACTGTTTGACATAGGCTTAAAACACATCCTACGAGGGTCCCTCCAATACCACCTGAACCAGATACAAGATACTTGTATGGCGGTTTTTATACTTTCTGTCTTTAGAACTCTGAAATTAGCCCATCATAATCACCAGCAACAGGCCCAATAGGCTGTTAATGCAACACTTGGGTTGGATATAGGAATGCATTAGACAAAACAGGGACAAAATAAGCTTGGTATTGAAAAAACTAGAAGTATTAAAAGTGCCAGTGGGTAGAACTAGCCCTGCAAAAACTGCTGTGTAGATTAACACAACCTTTAATCCATCTCAGGTTATTAGATGGACTACCATTGAATTGGGTAATGATATCATCTACCTCCGAGGAAATGTGCAATGTATTTTTCCTGTAGAAACATTTTGATTATTATTTACTAACCACCCAGTGTTAATCTAGCTGATTGTATTTATTTATTCTACTTGTGTGTTTGTGTTTTATTTTATTTACCGTTTGCCTGACTGAGAATTCCGAGTTAAGATTCCGCTGAGCAATTTGGTGATGCGGGGATAAGTGTACTGTAAGTGGATTTCTTGCTAAACCATAAGAGGCGATCCCAGATATTGGAAAGTTGTGGAATGCCTGTGAAATCTTGATTGAACTAAATTGATCAGAGCCTGAAATTTTCTCAGGTTTCAGGCAAATGCATTCCTTTAACAAGACGGGTTGGATCTATAAAATGCTTGTGCTGGACCTAATCCAATTCTAAGTAATGGGTGTCAGTGACGTCTTACAAACAAAATGTAATTAATTAAAGATTCTGCATCACTTGACTAATGCATTAGCCGTGTAACTCCATCAGAGCCAGAGAATACTGATGAGATGGGATTGTTTTTCGGCATTATGGATTAACCTTTTAAAGCCAAATCCTGCTCTGACCCGCTGGTCACTCAAACCTGCCATTAAAATACAAGGTTATAATTTGCATTTTTTTTTTTTTTTTTTTGCTTCTTCAAAACACTTTTTAAATCAGTTTCTGATATTTTTGCAATTAAAGTAAAACAGCCACTGTATATGATATATTATTGAATCAAAGCAATTAAATCTGAACGGCACTCATTTAGACCCATTTGCAATATACCACAGTTCATTTGTTAAATTAATTTTCATTAGCTCCATTTTATTAGGTTACTGTTGAAGCTATGTGCATCCTATTATTGATCTAAGCTTCTATTTTTAAATGCACTATAAATATCAGTTTCAAGGACACATGATAGACCACAGTCTGTACAAACTGTCTTGAAATATCAAAGTAACTTTTTATTGGATAAACCAGATTATTCAATCATGCATCGACCAAGTAGGTAATGCACTTGAACTAAGTAGACCAACTATTCCTCTCCATCCATTACCATTCTCACAGTCAGGCTATTATATGACTGATACACTAAGATAAGACACAATCTTTCTTAAAGTGCCCAGCTTTCCTTTTTATTGTGCCTTATCTCACAACAGTGTTTCAATCAAATCTAGCTTTTATCAAGCCAATTTCGTAGAGACCAGATTCGGTTGAGGCACACATAAAGAACAGTTGGTGTACTTTACGGAGACCTACAGCATAATTTTTTATTTTTTATTTATAGCTTGCTACAATAGGATAAAGGTGTTCTGCATCTTTTATTTAAGCCCTTGGCTGCTAGGCCATTTCGCAACTGTGTCCTGAAACAATTTTTAGGCTTTTATACTTCCTACATTAAAATATTTGTGCATTTTCTTTTTGTTTTATTTTCTGCAGATTTTGATTAATAATTTTAGTTTGCAAAAAAACTCAAAAATTAAAAATGGTTACATTTAGGATTCTCTAAATATATTTCAATAATATAATATTAGCAGTCACACCTGAGCAGATAACATGTATTTACTTTTGTTACTTTGTATTATCTTGTAATTAATGCAGAAAATGCATTAAAATGTTTCAAATATTTTATACTACACAAAATGTTGATTCCACAGTAAGTGAATGGATCACTTTAGTTCTAGTTTGTGGCTATTGACTCTGGATTGCATTACAAGTCCTGAGATTTTAGCTCAAGTTACCTCTTGAACTCCAACTATTGGAAGGCTAAAAATCAGTGTATAGGGTTAGCTGTAGGACTCGAATTCTGCAACATGGTTGATGATTATTGCACTCATGCTCAACAAAGAGAGGATAGTAGTGAAGAGTGAAAAAGCTTTATTTATACAGCTGAAGGATGTGAACTAGTTTTAGAAGCAATGTTTGTTACTAATTGTACCTTTGGTTTAAAGTCATGATGAACAACTCGGGATTTGTAGCAAGACTATTTTGCACCTTTAGTCTGTTTAGAAACCTCTAGGTGTACAGAATGTGTTAATCTACCTAGTCCTTCCTGCCTCACCAATGTAGGTGGAATTTCCAATGGTTGTATTATAGAATATTTGTACTAAAGAAGGATGAGAATACCCCATGTGATATTATTTCACATAATTGCTCTGGACTTGTGCAGCAGATTTTTTCAGTTTTCTCATACTGTAATGGAAGCAGGAGAGTTGGTCCGTGTCAAATATCCAAACCATGCTGTCAATCTTTCTTTAGCAGCGAGAGGAGTCCTTGACCCCTTGGAGTACCGTCTTAGCAGGCTTCTTTGAGCAGTACCGCTCTGGATAAGTAGAAGTTTTTTTTTTAGCATTTCCTAAAAACAGGCCAAGGCAACACTATTGAGCCCTTGCCAATGT